ATATACGTGTGTGTTGTGAGAGTCGAGGCGGGGCACAGTTGACATCAGCAGGTGTCCTGTACTCGCAAATGGCTCCTACACAGGACCTGTTATGCCCGCGTTCGTAGATAGCTGTCAGTGTGCACTGTGTGTGTGCTTAATTGCGGCGTCGTATGGGCTCCCATACACGGACAACCGTTCTGCATGGTCTCGTTCAGTGTTTCTAACCTGACAACTCGGTTTACAAAGAGTTGCTTGTGGCACTCTCTTTGTTGTTTACCATTCAGTGTACAATGAGACGGATAGCCAGCGCCTATATTACACGACTCTCCAGTGTGTCAAGAGATTAACACAGAAAACCCTAAACCCTAATACGGATAGACCCTTTTTTTGGCCTCACCCTTCAGTGTATAGGGAGATCGATACCTACGGCGTGTCCATTCGAGTGCTTGCTGATCTGGCGTCCTCCGTGCATTGGATTATTTGGTACGAACAGGCAGAGTGTGTAGTAGGCTGTAGCAGTGTATTAATTAGAGTAGTAGGCTATAGCAGTGTATTATGTAGTGTAGTAGGCCGTAGCAGTGTATTAATCAGAGTGTGTAGTAGGCTGTAGCAGTGTATTAAGTAGAGTGTGTAGTAGGCTGTAGCAGTGTACTAAGTAGAGTGTGTAGTAGACGGTAGCAGTGTATTAAGTAGAGTGTGTAGTAGGCTGTAGCAGTGTATTAATCAGAGTGTGTAGTATGCTGTAGCAGTGTATTGAGTAGAGTGTGTAGTAGGCTGTAGCAGTGTATCAAGTAGAGTGTGTAGTAGGCTGTAGCAGTGTATTAAGTAGAGTGTGTAGTAGGCTGTAGCAGTGTATTAAGTAGAGTGTGTAGTATGCTGTAGCAGTGTATTAATCAGAGTGTGTAGTATGCTGTAGCAGTGTATTGAGTAGAGTGTGTAGTAGGCTGTAGCAGTGTATTGAGCAGTGTGTAGTAAGCTGTAGCAATGTATTGGGTCTGTGTCCGGCAACGGTGAATCCATACCGTACTATAGTATATCTTTGTATATACTAGACTGATGTACAACCAGCAAGGATCATCATATTCTCGCGTAGGAATTAAGCACCTGGTTGGTCAGGATCACTGATTAGTATGGTATGGATAGACCAATCTGTGTGGCAAGTAATAGCAGGTTATGTGTTTAAGAGGTAGCAACAGCATGTGTGTCGTCTTTCGCCGTGCATAGTTCCGACTAGAGTCCTGGTATGACTGAGATGACCCTACACATTCACATACAATTCACATACACGCACCATACACCCCCACCCCGACAGGTGTGCGGTCTTCTCGTGCTTATGCGCCTATCTGTGGATTTATCTGATGAAGAGGGCTATTGCGCATGTGATGTGGGGCATGATAGGGGCCTCCATTCTGCTGATGGCGCTGGTTACCATCAAGAGTTATGTCATGTACGCCACGCACTCGACCAGGGGGACTGGACCTTACCACACCCGCGCACAGTCTACCAACCAAACGGTGCTGCTGGTCATGGGTAGGTGTATGTGTAGGTGTATGTGTATGTGTATGTATCACACCCGCGCACAGTCTACCAATCAAACGGTGCTGATGGTCATGGGTAGGTGTATGTGTATGTGTACGTGTGTCATAGGTGTGTATGTGTATGTGTATGTGTATGTATATGTATCACACCCGCGCACAGTCTACCAATCAAACGGTGCTGCTAGTCATGGGTAGGTGTATGTGTATGTGTATGTGTATGTGTATGCATCACATCCGCACACAGTCTACCAATCAAACGGTGCTGCTATTCATGGGTAGGTGTATGTGTATGTGTATGTGTATGTATCACACCCGCACACAGTCTACCAATCAAACGGTACTGCTGGTCGTGGGTAGGTATATGTGTATGTGTATGTGTGTTATAAGTGTGCGTGCATTTGCGTACTTGAATATAGACGAGCAATGAACAACATAAAGCTAGATCTATTGGATACCGTATTCATGCTAGTATCTTGCATCTTACATGCGTTGATTATGATGTGTGTGTGTGTGATTGTATATACATTGTTTAATTCGTCATTGCCCCCACTCTCGTATTTCTCGTCCCGTTATAGACATTGCATCGACATAATCTACGAGCGCAGCAGTGGACTAGCAAGTCGTTTGTACTGCTCCCTAGTATTAAAACCCTAAAAACCTAGAACCATAAAACCCAAATTCTCGACTAAGGACTCATACACTAGTACCACTGTCTCATATATCACTTTTAGCTCTGTGGTCGCTGGTGCATTCACAGCAGCTACAGCGCGGTGGTGGTATCTGGGTCTCTTTACACATTCTGTAGTTGCATGCAATGCAAACTATAGTACCATGTACTACTAGACCATAGTAGTACCAGAACTATTACCTCGTATGTCCCTTCTGATAGGTATTGGTCTCATATACATTCTGTAGTTGCCTGCAATGCAAACTATAGTACCATATACTACTAGTCTATAGTAGTACCAGGGACTGCTACCTCGTATGTCCTGTCCGATAGCCCCTATCTCGCATGATCCGTCTGTTAACATACCTTGCACTGCTATTCATTTGGGTTTGTACCACTACAGCCATTGTATCGACCGCAGCGACGGCGGCTGTGGTGTATTTGGTCATCCGATTGCGACGCAAACTGGACAAGGCCATTGTTGTGATTCAGGAGGCCAGCAGGTGTGTGAGTATATGTGAGTATATACATGTTTAACTATATGTATATGATCACATATGTATACGAATATATATATATTTAATTTGTATTGGCATCAACTCGCCCGTTGTGTTT